CTGCATTGCCTCCAACTTCTGCTATTTCATTCTTTTTTTCTCTTTTAATATATTGTCATCAGGAAGAGACACCCCAGCTGCATTTTTGTTTGGTTTAGCAGCTTGAATGTTAAACTCCAGTGTTTGCGCAGGGATGACACAGCTGAGAAGCGCTTCCTGCGGGTGTCCACGCAGCACATACTTTCCGCAGACAAGCACGGAAAGCACGCACTGTGGACCCAGCCAGATCTTCCGACAGGCAGCAAGGAGAAACGTTGCAGGGTAAAACACTGGCAGAACATGCTTGTTACTTGGGGGCTTAGCTACGGGCTGCTCACCCAAAGATGACACGGTAGATCTAAAAATTCATTGTTTGTCTAATTACATCTTCTCAGCCTACCCATAATACAAAAACATATTCAGTTCAGTTATTATTTAGGTACCTATAATCTAAACGACCTAACTATTGGTGGGATTTAGCAAAAACTAGAATTTTTATGTGCAAGTCTCCCAGAGCTGCACCATGCTTTGGTGATGCCCCCCCATCCTAAGCAATGGCCATCCTGGCCATCAGCTTCTTCAGTCATTTACCTGGAGAAGTATGATGATGATGATAGTAGGTGTTGGGAGGGGGATGGTTTTCCCTTGTGGTCTTGAGTTTGCTCAGAATTGCTTCTGTGTGTCAATCCAATCTTTCTTAATAGGCTACAGTTTTTCCTCTGCTGTTTATCCACAAAATTACACATGCCACGATTCATTCTTCTTCTACAATATTAATTCTTTTAAGGGGGAGAGCCATGCAATAGGACAAAATAACGCAAAGCTTAAACTAAAACACACATGGGAATAGTAGAGTTAAAACAAACCCTAAACCACAGGGTAGGGAGAGGCATTTGAACATTCAGTTATTCTGCTGTTATAGCTGGGAGAGGCAAGACAACAGACCTGTGCTCCTTGGGAAAATTGTCAGCACAGGGAAGGCTCTTAAATAATTTTGAAAACACAATTAAAAATCATCCTAAAGCAGCTATTTATTGTTATAAAGCTTGAGGTATACTGCTGGCATCATCAACAGCAATTTGGTTGGGCTACAGGGCTGCAAGGAGGTGGTCTCCAGCAGTCCTGTGCTGTCCAGGGCAGCACCTCTTGGGACAGAGCTGCCCAGGGGTGCAGAGGTAGCCTTCGTGATGCTACCAAGCAAGCTTGTGGGAGCAAGCTCTGACCACAGTGCATGAACACGACTCGCATGTCAGGGCTGTACAGGTACAATATGTCGTGCTGGGCAGGGCCTCGTGCTACATCTGATGTCCACGGAGGAACAATGACCAGGGCACTAGACTAATATGGAGACCGGCTGCAGAGCTGTGCCCACAAAGCTGGGTAGGGTCTGGACAGGTGATCAGGCTGTTAGGGGGATGTAGCTAAGCCTCTCAGGGCTTCCCAAGTGCAAGCAGTCTTATCTTCTCATTTACAAGAGCTAACTGGGCAGGATCTCTCTCACACATACCAGTTTACCTCTCTTGCATCACTTCTTGCTCTATCATTTGGGATTGCAGTCCCACAGTGCTGTCCCAGCCTGTTGCATCGTTGGTTTTTGGCATTGCTTATAGGGTACATGCTGTAGGAGTCTTACCACATGGGCAAAGTGACCTCAGCAATCCCCTCCTGCCCCAGCCACCACCTTCCCACGAAGGGCTGTGAATCAGCATTGCCTCAAATGAGGAGCATTTAGTCAGAGGAAAACAGAGAAATGTGGCCCAAATTCTGTCGTTGTTACATAAACCCCGCCTCCCCCCCACTGAACATCTGGAGAACATCTGAAGTTTAACAAAGCAGGCCTGCAGGCAAAGGCATTTTTGACCTTCCCTGTAATGGAAGCATAAAAATTGAGACTGAAAAGAGGAATAAATATAACCAGAAATGGAAGACAAAAATGACTCCAGCATATTGGGGCAGGCTTTGTCCCAAGCACCCAACAAGGGTTCCTGCAATCCTGCCAGGACAGTGCACGAGCATGGGGAGGGACAAGACAACATACCTAAACACCAGGCATTGTGCACTGCTGAAAAATCCCTGCTGGTCCCTGTCTCCTGGGGAAGGCAGCTTGCCATCAGACTCCATTTAAAACCATGTTTCTTCTGGGCAAACTGGGATTTAAAGGGAATGTTCAGCTTTTTCTCATGGAGAAAACTGACAAAGACTCCAAAACTAAGGCTTGGAAGCTAACGCTTCTTGCTTTCCTCAGTAAAGGAAAAAGCAAGGACGTGGTTGGGGGGTAGCACATGGAGGAAGGAGAAAAAAAAAAAATCCCTCCTAGCACCTGCTTTTATAGCAAAAATCTGTAAACCAGCCCAAAGGGAGCAAGAGCATTCCCTAGTTGCCTTTTACATCCCAGCATTTGACTTGGCCCAGCTGGAGTGTGAGGTGGCACACCCCAGGAGGAGCTGTGCAGGGAAGGGGGTGTGTGGCAACCCCCTTTTCTCACCCCCCTTTGCTGGCAGGGGTGTATCCTGCCAGCCAGGCAGTCCAAGCAGGAAGTGTGTAAGCCAGGGGCTTGTCCCTGTCATGTTCCCTCCCTTCATGGTCAACTCATGCCAAGGACTGCAGCGTGCCATTAAGAAACATTTCTTGAGCTGTAATAACCACTGCTGAACAAAGGCATTTTTTCTTACCTTTCCGTGGAGAGGGAAACAGGACATCTGATACAAACTGCAGCCACACGCAGAGCCTCCCCAGAGGTGTTCCTCAGACTTTCCAGCCAGGAGTGAGGTGTCCCTGACACTGGGGAACACCCAGGGAACTCAACAAGCATCCCAATTGAAATGTTTGGCCCAGGAGAGAGCATGATTAAGAGGAGACAAGGGAGAAGCAAGGCAGTACCTCTCTTACACAAACAGAATGTGAATGTCATCCACTGTCTGGGGAGCAAGTGACTTCACGTGCATCCACAGTGAAAGGTTGCAGCAAGCCCCTGGGATGTAGGGTATGGCCTGAGAGGTCCCCCAAAGACAGGCACCTTTTACAGCAGAGCACTGAGCTTGGCAAAGCTGGAGGAGATATTTGATAACTCTACCAGCAGCCCTGTCTGCAGAGCAGCACCCCTCCATGCCTGGGCAATGAGGTACCAAGGAGAGATGCTGAACATAAGCAGAAAGCAAACAGCTTATCCCTTCCCCTGATGATCACCATCCCTCTGCTCCTGGTCTTCTGGAAACAACAGTACCTACCTGCATAGGTGGGTGTTTGGGTTTTTTTTGGAAGCAGAAGGCAAACAGAAGCTGCATAAGCTTTTCCCATGCTTTGGGAGCTCAGTATTTTTCTCATACAATTTCTAATGTCCTATTTCATAGATGAAGAGAATTCACAGTATTTTTCAAGTCCACAGCATTCAATAATAGCCATATTTGCAATGCAAAAGCAATAGATCTCTCTTCTTCTATCCCTTACATTTTCACGTGAGA